GTGTGTGTGTGTGTGTGTGTGTGTGTGTGTGTGTGTGTGTGTGTGTGTGTGTGTGTGTGTGTGTGTGTGTGTGTAAAAAACATGTATGCTGTGTCTATTCTCTCAAGAGGCACTGAGGAAATAAATTTGGAATTTAACAAGTGTCCCTAAAGAAAATGTACCATTAAATCTATACATTTCATTTTGCAAAGACCTGCAGTTATATCGAAGTTTTACACCTTTTGTTACATTCTCATAAATCCCACGAGTGATTAAAAGTCAGAACAGTTTTCAATGTAACAAATTTTATTTTTGCATTTCTACAAATACTGGTACAAAGTGCCTCRATACCTGGACCTGATACTGATATCTGTATCGATACTCAGTTAAATGTGTTGCAGTTTACAWTTWAAGGGAAAAGTTTGTCAGTTCAGTGCTTAAGTTTCAACAAGCTGAAAAGGTCTAAAAGAAAGACCTTGTTCTAAATGAAAGAAAACTTTTGAAGTCACTGTGTAATGTTTAAGTTCTAACTCAGTAAGAAACTCACCTGCTGGAGCGTCAGCGGCACTAGCACACCCAAAATGGGTTCCACCACGGAGAGTCAGTCAGAGGAAATGCGCCACCCATGGCCTTTTTTAAAGACTTATTCAAGTTMATTGGTTCAAAAAACGACTTGTGGAGATCTGACAGAGGAGATAGGTGGTGAATTTACAGCTTCTAGCTGTTGTCACAATCTCCAATGATGCACAGAATCACAAGTCCATGTACAGTGTCACAGAGGATAAACACAAAAACATGCATTATCTGCAGCATTGTTCATTAAAATGGCACCACTGATGTATTAAAACTATATCGTAGGCACACTTTTTGATTTTGTAGACCATTAGGTAATACATTAAGCAAGTACTGTTACTTTTAATACCTTAAGTATTTATAAAATAAATAATAATAAAGCGACGGACAGCACTTGGGCGTGACGCAATGGTCAAAATGAGCCACATATGGAAATGCAAAGACATCAACCTTGTTACCAAATGCAGATTAGTCAATGCAATAGTCTTCTCTATAGCAACATATGGCTGTGAATCCTGGACGCTAAAGAAGGCTGACAGGAAGAGAATTGATGCCTTTGAATTATGGTGTTGGAGAAGACTACTACGAATTCCATGGAAAGCAAGAATCACCAACAATCAAGTATTAGAACGAGTCAAACCAAATATCTCGCTTGAAACAAGGGTCACCAAACAAAAACTAACATGCTTTGGACACATCATGAGAAGCCAGTCAATGGAGAAAGATGTCATGTTGGGACTGGCCAGTGGCAGAAGAAAAAAAAGGCAGACCAAGAACTCGTTGGCTTGATACCATCAAACAGACACCAGCAAGAATATGTCACAATTTAAAGAAGCAGTAAAGGATAGAAGTGCTTGGAGACAGTTGATCTATCGAGTGACCAATGGTCGGAATCGACTGAATGGATAAAGAAGAAGAATTTGTAAAAGCAAGTACTTACTTAATTTTACTCAAGTAAACATGTTAATGTTGTACCTTTACTTTTACTAGAGTATTTTTTGTTTCTTTATCTGTACTTTTACTTAAGTACAGTGTTTGAGTACTTTCTCCACCACTGTGGGGAAGTACCCAAATGGAAGTACTCAGTTTGAGAGACACTGGTATCAGGACACCCCTAATAAATATAATTTGCTCYAACTTTGAATGGTTTTTGTTCTGACCCAAAAGAAAGCTTTATTGAAAATAAGATTCTTAATGGTAATAATTAAGAAATTAATTGAGAAAAATACAGAATAGGCATAAAAACGTATCTCCACCACTATTATTAACAAACCGGAAGAATAAAAAGCCAAATAGAAGAAAAAAGAAAAGAAAAGAAAAGAAAAGAAAAGCAGAAAAAGGCCATTAAACCAACAGAAAGCCCTTTGAACTTTTGCATTAAGGCTTTTCCTCTAAACAAAAACAAAATCTTTCCCTTAACTTCTTTCTTTCTTTCCTTGTCCATTCCTTATTTTTTCCCTTTCTTGTTTGAGTCCTCTGTAAAGTCAGTGGTCCAACTCTTTTTAAAAGCACCTATTGGTTCCTCTTTGCTCTCCCACCCTGAGTGCCCATGGCTCCTGAAGTGATGCTCTTTGTGTGGGGTTCAGAGGTTGTGCCCATTAGCGTGAAGAAAGCCCTGCTGAGTCTTATCCCGACCCGTACCAGAATGCAGAGCTCTTCACCCCAACCTCAGCCTGGCCAGCCCCCTTCCCTGAACAGGACACTTTTATCCTTTTGTCAAGAGGTCAATGAGCAGACCCCCAAAGGGGAAGGAGGGCCCCCACCAATAATGATATGCATGGCAGTCATTGTGTGACCCCCATGGGGGAGTTATGGTTGGTTGAGGTGGGTGCAACAAGGGAGTGGAGGGCAGGCTGCGTAACTAAGGATGGTTATCTTATCCTGAAGATACAGAATGAAAGGGATGAGGAGGAGAAATCCTCACTGGATCATGACAGATTGGCTCAATAATTGTGAATATAGAGAAAAATGCCAGAGCAGAGAAAGTAACAAGAGCTTCAACATTTTCATAAACTTTGAATTTTTCTCAATAGGGTCAAACATCAAGACAAAACACTACAGTTTGTCTATATAAGTGTGCATTCTTTGAACCACACACATTTATATTGAAGTCAACTTCTAAACTCCCCTCAGTCCTGGTTTGAAAGATGGATTTGACTTGGTTCACTTCACTTTCAGCCTTGATATGCAAATGTGAAGTTACATAACAACTGGGTCAAATGCAAATACCCAGACGTAGATAGTTTATTGCCTTTAGAATGTTACATATAAACAAATTAGGGACAAGAATGCAAATATTTATTACACTTTGATTATAAAAATAACGATTAAAGACAAAATTGTGTAACTGGACTTTCTCTGTTGTTTTGAAATCAGAAACAATTTAATAAATATCTGACATGCTTGTTTAATTCGGTGTTTAAATTTGAACCTGCTCTGACCGGCTGCTCCAATGCAGCTCTGTATTTATGGAACAACTTGCTGGAAGTAGAACAAACTAAAATATCTATCCAGTACTATATGGTGGGACGATAACGTTACTATCATGTTTCTGTGGATTCTCGAACACGAAAAATAAAAACAAAAAAAGACGAAGCAACTGGACTTCTGTTCTGTTGCTGAAGATGTGTGATGTCATAAGATTTAAACAGCATGACTGAAACTTATGTCATTATTACTTGGATCAAGCCGTACAGCCCAACCTCACTGACATAAAAGTCAGGTAATATGCGACATGAGCGTTCAGACTGAGGTTGCTTTGAAAAACATCTGATATTTATCTGATATAGTACCAGGTTCCAATTAAAAAATGTCTTTTTACAATCATTGTGTAATGTTTACATTCAAACTCGGTAAGTACTGAAGTAATGGTGAGTACCCAAACTGAAGTATTGGTGCTCTGTTTGAGAAAAACTGGTATCGGGACACCCTAGCCTGGTAAAAACTAGACCCTGTCCTTCACTTTGCTTCGTACGAGGGTCTGGACTCGCTGCTATAGAGAAGCGATTCTTGCAGGAGGCGTGGCCTCTGCTGAAGTGTCGCTGTGAAGGARGCTAAGCTAAGAAGCTAACCGGAAATTGCGAGCGCTGTAAACAACCCTACTGAGAGGAGAAAAGTACCGAGCCAAATGAGACTACTGTAAATGAGAGCTGCTGCTTTGTCAGACAAATTTAATTTAATTTGGAAGCCTTATCAACACRGACTGGCTTCATTCTCTTCCTCCACTGCCGTATGCTAAACTAACTAGCAGACACTGCGTAGAACATCAATGTCATTCAAAACCCCACCTTCTGTTTGTTGATTGGCCCAGGTAAAATGAACTATAAGCTGACATGGCGCAGAAAATCGACGTTCTGTTCTCTGATTGGTTCGGCTAAAAATCTGCCAGCGAAATCCTTGTCTGTGGGAGAAATCCCAGAAGGAGCAGAGAAGCGAAACTAGAATTGATCGGMGCTGCGTAGGAAGGCAAGGGCCAGGTGGGACACCCCTAAGTTTTTGTTGAATTTTGGTATATAATGTCAAGCCTTCTTCCATTAAATATAATAAACTAAACAATTTAAAATGCAAAAAGGTTAATTTGTCTCTCAAACTTCATCTCATTTGTTATTTGTTTGTTACATATCATTAAAAAAACTGTAAGAAACACTGGTTTCATACATGCAGTCATCAAAAAAGAAGTGTAACCGTTCACTTTCATCTGCTAAGCACACTCTTGGCTGTGTAACTGTATTAATTAGGTGAGCCGCACACAGCAGCAGTGAGAGACCGACAGACAGGAGGGGACAGCCACCAGATTAGATCTTCTGCCAAGAAAATGAATTTCTTCTGCATACTGAATATGCGTCACAGGGACCACACTGTCAACTCTGTCTGTTCCCCTTGCTGCGTGTCACCATCTCCAGACAGATCCAAGTCCAGTGTCTGAGAGTGTGTGTGTGATGGGGATGAAGAGTATTAGCCAGTTCCCTGCTGCTATAGCTGTGAGTGTGAGCTGCCAGAAGAGAGGGGGTAATTAGGGACCTGTTGTGTTGAAGGAAAGCCAGGCCATGGAGGAGGGATTATGGCCGTCAATCTCCTCCAGTTTCCCTCACTTCACTCCTTCTTTTACTCTGTTAACGTTCACTTTACCCCAGAACAACTCTGACTCAGATTTCTGATTGATAACCATAAATCAGTAAACAAACAAAAATGTCACTTTACTAAAAGAGAACAAATCGTCTAACTTGGGCCAACATGAATGTAAAATTTAAAAATCAACTCCAATGTCAAAAAATGAATAGTGGTTAAAGCTTAGTCTAATCCAGAGTAAAATAAGAGTTGGTCTAATCCAGAATTGATAAAATGTTTATCTGATTCAGAGTAGACAAAGGCTTGGTATAATCCAGAATAGATGAAGGCTTGGTATAAACCAGAGTAGAMAAATGCTTGGTCTAATCCAGAGTAGACAAAGACTTGGTCTAATCCAGAGCAGACTAAGACTTGATCTAATCTAGATTAATTAAACAAAAGCTTGGTCTGATCCAGAGAAGACATTAACTCGGTCAAATCCAGAGTAGACATAGACTTAGTTTAATCTAGGGTAGACAAAGGCTTGGTCTAATCCTGAGTAGACAAAGGCTTCATCTAATCCAGAGTAGAAAAAGTGTTGGTCTAATCCAGAGTAGACAAAGTCTTGGTCTAATCAAGAGTAGACTAAGACTTGGTCTAATCCAGAGTAGACATAGACTTGGTTTAATCCAGGGTAGACAAAGGCTTGGTCTAATCCTGAGTAGACAAAGGCTTCATCTAATCCAGAGTAGAAAAGTGTTGGTCTAATCCAGAGTAGACAAAGTCTTGGTCTAATCAAGAGTAGACTAAGACTTGGTCTAATCCAGAGTAGACTAAGACTTGGTCTAATCCAGAGTAGACATAGACTTGGTTTAATCCAGGGTAGACTAAGACTTGGTCTGATCCAAAGTAGACATAGACTTGGTCTAATCCAGAGTATAAAAAGGCTTGG